ATTCAACAGCGACACGAGGGAGAAGAAAAAATAGCCTTGAACACGAAAAATCTTGAAACACCAATGTTGACGACGATCTGAACGGCTTTACAAAGAAAGCGCTTTAATTAAACTCAATGCCTGCAAAACAAAATGTAAAAATAGGTTAAACACAATAGAATTGAAGCAGGAAGTTAATAATATGAATTTCAAATCAAACGTTACATGTAACTGATCACGCCTTTAAGTTAGAAATCTTTAGATGAAAAGAACTCGCTATGAAATGATTAGGGAAATGTTACCCATTAATTACACACAAAATACAAAATACGCTTTCTGTTATCGTGTGCAAAGTTACTAAACATCATAATGTTGACCGCAAAAAGAATTACTATTTATAAATTCAATTTATAGATAGATTAGATTTCAAATTTAATTCTCTTTTGTAAATCCAACGTTCAAGCAGTGTTGTCCATGCCCAACTTATATCTACGGTTGTTGTGAGTTGTGAGTTGTGGAAGCGTGTATGGAAGAGGATACAAAAGATTATAGCTTTAAAGCCTACCGTGTATAAATGAAAATATTCATTAATGTATTTATTTTATTTGTATATTCTTCGAAACAACGCGCTATATTAACCTTAAGAGCACTTTCAAGATGCTTCTACCTCTATTAACTCTGCTAAAAGGTAGCAAATCCTAAATTCATTTCCTGGATCAATTCTTTTACCCCCCAAAAAAAACTAAAAACAAAACAATTCTACATCGTAGTAATTCCCACAAAAAAACTGTATTACTAACTTTAAAAAACCTCATTTTACGCACTTGGAGGTAAAATGCTTATTTGCTACCTTATAGTAGTTAGGGTTAAAGATGCGTATTTGCTACCTCACTAGTACTATACGTATTTGCTATACCCAGTGCGTTTTTGCTGCTATTTAGAAGTTTTCTTCGTAAAAAAACTGTAAAATGAAACAAATTGCTTTAAAACTTTTGTCAACTACTTTATTATATGTTTACCTTACTGCTCTGATAAAATAAACTCGCCAGACTAGAGAGGGAACTGAGAAGAGTTTTAGGCAAAACACACTTCTGGGTAATTTTTAAAAATTTCAAACTTAGTCACAGTGTTCAGTGTTGTTTTTGAATTCTAACCCTAGGTCTTGACTCTTTTCTAAAAATTATGTATTTGGAAGGCTAAAAAACAAAACAGATCTTAGTAGAAGTGGTTTAATTACCTTGGAGACCTACTGAAACCCGTAAAGGTTTTTTTTTTTTTTTTTTGGCGAAAAAAGGTCGATGTGCTCAAGGCGAAATGCGTATTTGCTACCACATCGAACTTCAAAGCGAAACAAATCGTATAAATCATAAGTTGTACCGTGAAATAGTTGTATGTAGTTCTCAGAGAGAGAGAGAGAGAGAGAGAGCACTGAATTTTTCGAATTATTTAATTCATGCTTTTTTAGTATTACTTCAAGGCTGTAATATTCTTTTGATTACAAAAGGCTTTTTTTTGAAAGATGTTTTGTTCCCTATGAAATTAGACTACAGACAGGAGACTACAGACTTTTTTTATTGAGCTCCTTGAAATTAAAGGCTTCA